CCTAATATGCAAAGTGTCCCCTTGGGAGTTCAACCAATTGGGAGTTAGATCGCTCCCTATGACATGTGCTGACTACCAGGGGGAGGTGCGGAATGAAGGAAGGCCCTAGCTGGCAACAGAGGAAGGGAGGCCCTGGCTGGGAGCCAGCAGCCACTAGGGACAGGACCTGTGCACCAATTTTGTGTTCTGGGCCTCTAGTACATGCCCTCACCCCCCTACTGTCTGTGTCCATTGGTTATGCTTATATATTAGTAAATGCATATAAGTCCCTTGGTTGATCTCTTACTACCCCCTCCTTCCCTCCCCTGCCTTCCTTCTAAGGGTGAGGGCATGTGCTGGGGGGTGGGAGCAGCCAGGGAGAGGTCAATGGGGGAAAAAGAAGACATATGTAATACTTTAAACAATAAAGAATTTAATTTTAAAAAAAGATATACATCTATGTGGCAGTTTTAAAATAAGTCCACAAATCTTTCCTCCATTCAAGAGCTGAGCTGGCGTGGGAGGTAGGCTTGGCGACTGACTTCTAATAAACACAATACGGCAGAGTTCTCTGTGTGTGACTAGGTCATAAAAGGCATCAAACTTTCTCCTCCCGCTCCCTCTGTCTCCCTTTCTCTCTCCGTCATTTACTCTGAGGGAAGCCACCTGCCATGTCACAAGGACACTCAGGCCACCTGTGGGCAAGGAACTGAGACCTCCTGCCAACAGCCACATGGAAAACCTTCCTCAAACAGGTTCCCCAGCCTCAGTGAGCCTGCAGGTGACTGTGGCCTCTGCCAGCCTCAGATGCAGTCACATGAGAGCCCCACGCCTGCACCAGCAGCGGAGGCCACTCCCAAATCCCCGGCCCACAGGAACAGGGCGACATAAACCAAATGTGTGCTGGTTTAAGCCATGTTTTGGGGTGATTTGTCTCACCTTTCTTGAGATGCCAGTTATTAAAATATAGACATGAGGGTGTCTTGTTCACTCCTGTATCCCCAACACCTGGCATCTGTGTGCACTCGGTGAGCAATGCATCTAACGACAAGCTTGTCCCCAATCTCTTAGAGACACCTGTACAGATTCACACCCAGAAACAGGGGCATAGTTCCCCAATAAAAAGGAGACTTTTTAACAAAGAGCCATTGGCCAGCATGATTATTTAAACAGGAACTAAAAGAAATTATCTAAAAAGTGCTGTTAGAACTTGCATAATTGGTTCCAATTATTGGGGGGGTGGGGGGAGCTGCCTGTAGAGGGAATGCAGGGCCATGCTGTATCCAGGGGACTAACAATCAGCAAGAACACAACCTGAAAGGCCCAAGCACAGGGGGACGAAGGCCTCCAGTCCCACGTGGGGACTGTCTCAATGTCCTCTAGAAGCAAAGCCACCAGAGACATTCACGCCAAGGCCAGCTGGGCACGATGCCCCTGCAGTACCTTTCTGACTTGAACTGTGTGGAGACCTCCTGCCTCTGCTCCCAGCACACCTGGGGCAGGTGGAGGCACACTCTCCTGCCCCCTGCTGGCCTGAAAACGCCAAGGAAGAAGGCCTGGCACAGCTTACCCACATTGCATTCATGCACTCCCTTCCTCCCTAATCTTAGGAGACTGTCAGCATAGAGGCTCCCCACCTCCTCAGAAAGGAGAGAAGGTGGATCCTGGCAGCAAATCCCTGTCTGGTTCTCTCTGGGACAAATAGTCACATTTAAAGCCAATCTCACATAATCCAGGGCTAAATGGATTCAAATGGAAAGACCCCTGATGTTTAAAAAAAACCAAACAACTAGTGATGTGTGCTCTACTGCAGGCTGTGAAGCAGGCAAGAAGAGCAGAGGCCAGAGTCCCTACCAGAGGGAGGGGCATCCTTAGACATGCTCCACTGCCTGAGAATTTCTAAAAATTGAAGAGTTCAACGTCCCAGACCACAGAGTCTCTCCTCCCACCCCCTGGTTTTGGGGCTGCCGTGGGACCACAGCAGGGACACCCAGGCTTCCAAGGTGTCCCTCACTGTTGTCTCGATTCAGTTCACTCGAGAACAGCTTATTGAGTATCACCTACGTGTTAGACACTGGGTAGGTTCTTTGTAGACATTATTTAATTTGATCCAATAACAACCCAATAAAGCGAGAAAAAGGAAGTGGGGAGAATGGAGTTGTCTGGCAGAGGTCGCCCAGCAGTGACCTCAGACTCCAGCCCAGACCTGTGCAGTCACAAGTCTTCGTGAGGACGGGCTCCGTTCTCCAAGAAGACAGCAAATCCCCGCATTTTTGTCACCAGGAAACCCCCGGATTGGTTCGGGCTGCCTGTCGCTATGTCCAATAACAAAGGCAGGGTTGAATCATAGAAGACATTTATTGAGAAGGCCAGCCAACCAAGAAGAGAGGGTGCTTACAAGCATTCAATGGGGGACAGGGTTATACAGGGGAAGAAACTACTGGGGTGATGGGAATGGAATGCAGCTATGCACAGCCCTGGCGGTCCCCAGACATCAGCTATTGTCCTTAGTCATCAGGTAATGACATGATGTTGATGAGATGATGTTTTGACTCCTGGTGGGTCGGTCTGACCATGCTTATTGGTTCTGTTTGCTGGGTTCACAGCTGAGTCACCTCCTCCATTGCTTCCCACAGGCCTTGGAAAGGAAACTCAGGAACAACTTAACCCCCTATTCACATAAGTACTAGTATATGTGTTCTAAGATTTAAAATGATGTGATTATTTTTCAGATTAACGCAGGTGCTCTATCTATCAGACCATAAGTCCCCCTATCATTTGTGCCAGCCCTGCTTTCCAATGGGTTGGCCAAGGTTGCAATATTTTGAACAGTTTCTGTGCTTGGCTGAATTCATTTAGAAACTATATACCCTGCTTACTGAGCGACATTTAAGCTCTTCAGGGCTTCTGCCTGGGCTCAGCATGAGACAACAGATTTCCCACAGAATCCATAGTAATCCCAGCAGAAGGGCTGGTGTTTCCGGAAACACTGGAAACAGCTCTAAGTTCCCCATAACTCACTCGTACCTCCCACAGCTCTTTATGGGAATTATTCAATACAACCAATGCAGTGTTTAAAAGGAAGGTTCAGAGGCTATAAAAAGAAGCCAGTGTTGACCCCCTCTGGCCCAGCCCCATTTCTCCCAGCCTATTCCACGTTAAATGCAGCAGGGAGGCAGCAAAGGAGAAGGGAAAAGGGAGGGCGGGGGGAGAGAGGTGGGAGAGCAGAGCAGAGAAAGGGGTCTGCCTTTACTCAGAAGTCCCAAAGCAAATCAAGGAAAGTGTCTGCCATCACCAACAAGCTTCCTTCTGTGTGTCAATGCTGCCACCTTCTGGTGTAAATTATAAATTCATTAGAAAATAGCGCCAATCTCCGTCATTCAATAGATGAAGCACAGGATGTGATCCTATGAGTTACATATATATCCCGCAAGTATTCCTGGGATCTATTTCAACCAGAATTAAATACATCTACTTTTCAAGCTCCTACCTTTTAAGAAATACCACTGATCTTTTAAAATATACCACTGAGTGCCCGAGCAATTAGAGAAACTCCTTCAATGTTCTCACTATGTCCATGCATGCTCCCCACCTTCCAACCCATCCCCATATGTGACAACATGGACAAACCTTGAAGGCCTTGTGCTAAGTCAAATAAGTCAAACAGACAAAGACAAAGACTGTCTATCCCTTATTTGTGGAATAGATACAGACTCATGGATACAGAGAACAGCCTGGGGGTGTTTGCAGCAAAGGACAGGACCAGGACTGCCTAGCCTCACTGGACTGACTCCCTGGCCTCCCCCAGGAGGGCTCAGGCCTCAGCCAGCTGCTTCAGCACAGAGAGGGTCCCATAGAGGGCAGACAGGGGCTCCTTGGCTTCTGGGTCCCAGGTTGACCTGGGGCTGTTCAGCTCCATCTTCAGGCCACACTCGTCCAGTAGCCCATAGGTAATGGCCAAGCCCTCCCCCTGGAGTGGGGCAAGGAGTTTGGGCTGGAGGGTAAAGGGAATGTTCTGGAAGCAGTTGAAGTTGGGCTCCAGGAGGCTCCTCACCTTGAAGAAACAGTATCAGATGTTACAGGTCAGCCTCTGAGGTCAAGAAGAGAGAACCTTCAGTCCCAAGGGCCAGGAGTCATGCAGGGTGACTGTGGGGGCGTGAGCTTTGGGGGTCACTCCTGCTCCTGTCTTTGGGTCAGTGTGACCACGGACACGTTGTTGGAAATCACTGAGCACTGTCTCCTTAGCTGCTAGATAGTGACACTGACACTCAGCAGAATAGTGGGGTTTGGAATTGTGTGTGTATGCCTGCGTGTGCAATGTGTGTATGTACCTGTCTACACACACATATGTACTTACATAAATATGCATGCAGACAGAGAGCGTGCAATTAGCAAATGGTAACCGTGTGAGTACATTAGCGGTATAACTCAGATGCCTTGAGCTCCCCAAACCTGTATTCACAGATGGCTATTTTAGAACTGGGGGGAGGGGCTCTCTGCAGGGTTGTCATGGAAACTGAGACCTTCCCCAGGTAGACTCATGCCCACTGGGCCTGTTTCCCAGATGGAGATGCAGCCTGGATTTCCCAGGTCCACACAGGGACCTCCCCTCCCCTCCCAGCAGCAACCCGAGTCATCTCTCCTTTCTCAGAACCATTCTTATCCTGCTTCCCTCACTCTTTTCCAGGACGCCGGCCCCTGGGGGTTGCTCACCAGGTCCCTCTGCGGAAGGAGGATCCTCTTCTCCATGGACTGAGCCAGCAGAACATGTTGGATGTCACTCAGCACTGGGGACAGGGGGACATTTGGGGAAAGAGTCAGATTTTCCTGTCCCCACGGTGAACGCAGAGACCTTTAGAAGCGAACTCTGAGGCAGAGGAATAAAACTCGCTGGCGTGAAGGTCAAGTTCCCTGCCCTGGAAAGTCCCCCTTCTGCTCATGCTCATGGGATGGTCTCCAGGAAGCCACCTAACATGGTCCAGGGTGGGCTTCTGTGGCTGGACCTGGCATCACCGCCCCACTGATCCGCTGCATGAACCTGGCTGGCCTTGCAGGCCTCAGGCTCTGTCACAGGGCAAGCTCATCACACTGAGCCCTGCTGACCTCGGAGAGGCCTGTGATGTGAGGGTGAAAAATCATAGCATGTCAAGGGGTTTGGAGAGGTGGCACCTAATGCAGCCCTTTTGGGGCTCTGGAGGGCCCACCCCCATTCTCTTCCCAAACCACTCTTACCCATTAAGGCTTCAAGCAGGTAAAGGATGAGGCACTTTGAGCCAACCTCTGGATAGCGGGAGTCCTTTCGCAGTTCAGTTAGGATGGTGCCACCAGGGCCATCCAAATGACCAAAGGGTTCCTGTTCAAGCTATAGGAGACAGGGCTTATTAATGATGGTGATAATAACATCAGTGACTTCGCCTGTAAATTCTGCGTCTACAAGTGATTAACCAAGGAGTGGGGGTAATGGCTCCATGCACCCCCAGGAATATGGAGCACCCCCAGTCTGTGAGGGCTGCCTTCCTGGCCCTGGTCATTGGACACAGGGGCATAGTCCCCAACCTCAGACATCCTTCTTATCCCACTAAGATTACCCCCATTTTCCTTTCCCCACACACCTTAGCAGTCGTACCTCTGAAACATCCCCCATTTAAAAGTCGGATCAGCCTTAGGGAGCGGTGGGGGTCCTCACCTTGTACATGAGGTTCTGAAGAGCCTTGCGGTCCTGAAGAGCCTTGTGGTCCCCAAGCATGGCCAGGAGGTTGGAGAACACAATGTTCTGCATGCCCTTCGAGAGCTTGGCTGCCTTTACCTTCTGGGAAACCTCCTCTTCTAGCAGCTTGAAATCTGCCCCCGGGCATTAATGCCAACCAGAAACAGAGACAATTCTCAGATTAGACCATTCCTTTCCCATCAACATGAGCAAAATTCCTCTTCCCTTCAAGCTGCTGACCCAGAGCATCTCTGAAGATGGCATGCTTGAGCTCTGGGATGAAACCACAATAGGCCAGAAAGATGGAGAGTCTCTGCTGAAATGAGGTGGGGGTACACGCAAGGATGAGAGGAGAGGATCCGGGAAAGGGTTACGGAAAGAGGAAGAAACTGACCAGGTGCTCACTTCTGACACGTCGCAAATAATGTGGGTTCTAGAGTGGTCTCCAGAGATGAAAATGTCAGAGATTCTAGCATTGGACTTCAAAATGAGGTTGACATGACAATTATATGAATATGTATATAAAGTGCTTAGTAATACATGCACTTGTGCCTGTATCTTCAGGGTCTAAAAGGAATTAACCAAGGAGTGGATGTTGGGGGCTGCCTGCTTCTGCCAGGACACCTGAGGTGGCCTCAAGGTGGCCTTGTAAGAGTGAGAAGTCACTAGAATGAAAGCGCCAGGGAGGCAGGCATTTCTATTTGGCTCACTGCCCTATCCCAGTGCTCAGAGTAAAGCCTCCTGCCCAATGAGCCCTCAATAAATGTTTGCTGCATGCACCCACAAATGAATGAATGAATGAATGAAAAGTAGCCATGACCAAACTGTAAGTCTGGAAGTAAAGCTCAGTTTTCTGAGTGGTTTGGAAACCTCCAATTTGGGTTCTGAGCTCTGCCGTTCCTACCCAGCAGCCTCAGGTTCCCTCTTAGTGAACACCCAGACCGAGGGGTGCCTGCACCCTTCCTAGAAAGAGAATGACAAGTGGTCATCTCCCTTTCTCATCCCCCAAATTTCCTTGAGAGACACTTCCTAGCTTCCGCCCTCTACTGCTGCCACCCTCTTGCTTAATCTCTTTCTGCTCCATCTCAGTCCATCCCTCCACATTCTTGACCCTTCCTGGCCCTTCGAACCCACAGAAACTATGACCTGTCCCTGAGGCCATGGTGCCAAAGGCAGGGGCACTCTGCCCTGCTCACCAGATGAGTACAATGAGGACCCTCCCGACCCCAGCAAACACACACTCATCTCTTCAGAGCCTTTCTGATCCCTAAATTTGCTTTAGAAACACTTCCAAGGGTTCTGCCCTCTACTGCCACCCTCCTCTTGCTTAACTTCTTCCTGCTTCATGCCAGTCCATCCCTCCAACTTTATGACTTGTCCTGACCCTTGCTGACCCTCCCTTGCCCTCCCTAACGTACAGAAACTATGGCCAGGCACAGGGGCCATGGTGGAAAGACAGGGCTAATCTGCCCTGCTCATCAGATGAGTACCACCACCCTCTTGCTTAACCTCTTTCTGCTCCATCCGGTCGATCCTTCCACATTCCTGACCCTTCCTGGCCCTTCCCATCCCACAGAAACTACACCTAGGCCCCAGGGCAATGGTAGCAAAGGCAAGGGAACTCTGCCCTGCTCACCAGATGAGTACAATGAGGACCCTCCCCACCTATTGGGTGCCTATGGAGAAATTAACACCACATCCAAGAGTTAGTCTCTGGAGAATCTCAGTTTGTCTATATTCTGTCCCTTCTCCCCAACCGTCTTTTCCATTCACCCCTGCCCTTTGCCCAGGGAACCAGAGCCCAGTGGCTCATGTGAGGATGGCAAAAGCAATCACCTGGGATTTCAAATGTGCCAAGAGGGCCTCGTGGAGGGATCACATCCCACGTTCCTGGCACTAAAGTCACCTGCTCACTTGTGAAGTGGAATTCCTACTGCCGTTCCATTGGAAAGACAGTCTCCACTGCCCCACACAGCCCACATACACACTTTGACTCAGTATTCAAAGAAGACAGGTGGCTCTCCCTGTGGCCAGGGGCCTGTGTGGGTCACAGCAGTGAGATGAGGAGGTGGTGAAGGAGCCTGTCTGGGGAAGGTTTCCCTGTGGGTTTGTCAGGGCTGAGATTAGACCATTCCTCTGGGGACAGGATGTAGATAAACTGGTGAGCAGGGTGTTTATGGGTCAAAGAGGGTCAAGGTACCCCTATGTTCATAGCAGCACAATTTACCATAGCTAAGATTTGGAAATAGCGTAAGTGCCCATCAGCAGATGAGTGGATTAAGAAACCGGGGTACAGCTACACAATGGAATGCTATGCTGTTATAAAAAAGAAGAAACTTACCATTTGCAACAGCATGGATGGACCGGGAGAGTATTATGCTAAGTGAAATAGGCCAGTCAGACAAAGATAAATATCACGTGATCTCACTCATTTGTGGAATATAATGAACAACATAAACTGATGAACAATAGAGCCAGAGACATAGAAGCATCAAACAGACTGTCGAACCTCAGAGGGAAGGCAGGGGAGGGTGGCGGTAAGAGATCAACCAAAGGACTTGTATGCATGTATATAAGCATAAGGCATGGACACAGACAGTAGGGAAGTGAGGGCATGTGCTGAGGGATGGGAACAGCCAGGGAGAGGTTAATGGGAGAAAAAGGAGACATATGTAATACTTTAAACAATAAAGAATTTAAATTTAAAAAGGGGAAGTCAAGGTCTAAGCATTATGGCCAACTTACCTGCTGAAAAGGTTTTCTGATCATCATCATCATCATCATCTGAATCATCATCTGTGATATGAAGAATGCCTAGGTGGGAAGAAGCCGGGTCAGCTGAGCCAAGGGTATCCCTGCTGGAGCCTCTCACATCCCAGCACCTGCAGCCCCACACTTCCTCCTCTGGGCCTGGGGTGCAGCTTTGCTCAGGGATCCTTGGGACCCCTTGCATCAGAATCACCCAGACACTTGTGGAAACTCATTAGAATCCCTGACCTCACTCCATACCTTCTGCACCAGGCTCTCTAAAAAGGAAGCTATAACCTGCAGTTTCCATAGGAACCTGGGTGATGCTTATTCACTCTAGTCTCACATTGAAGAACTGCCTTGTCAAAGGAAATAAAATCACCTTCTTCATACACTTTGTCTTCCTCTGCCAGACGTATCTCTTCCCTACACATGTGGGTCCTTTCTACACTACTCCTGGGTAGTTTCACATTTCACGTAGAGAAATTTTCAAAGTTCTGAAATTCCTAACAATCATGTTTACTAGGTAAATGACAAGGGCCAGGAGCCCATGAAGGAAGGAGGCAGAGAAAAAGCAGTCCCATTATAGGAGACCCCAAGACCATGGTGACGCAGTAGCCTGAGAGAAGAGAGTCCAAGGCGGGAATAATCAAGTGTGTGGTTGTTGATGATGATGTGAGTAAATTCCAGGGAAAACAGACTGCACTGGGGCGAGGCATGGACAGTAGGTAGGGAGTGAAAAAGAGGAACAGAAATGGACACTCACAACAGCATGCTAATCTGCCCTGCTCATCAGATGAGTACAAGGAGGACCCTCCCCAACCCCAACAAACACATACTCACTCATTCGAGGGGAGGAAGGGTCCATGCTGCCTAGAAGAGAAATCAAATTACCACCCAAAGTTAGTCTCTGAAGACTTACAGTTTGTCTACATTCTGCCCCCTACTCCCCAACCCCTCTTTTCCATCCACCCCTGCTCTTTGTCGAAGGAACCAGAGCCCAGTGGCTCAGGTGAGGATGGCAAAGGCCATCACATGGGGTTTCATGAGTAAAAAGGGGCCTCGTGGAGAGATCACAACCCACTTTACAGTTTCTGATCACATACCTGCAATCATTGGTCTAGGTTTGATTACTGTTGGAAAGAGAAATAGAAGTGGTTACTCACAACAGCTTAGTCTTCTCCCCAAACACACACACACATACACACACACACACACACACACACACACTCCTACCCCAGTACTCAGAGGAGACAGGCTCACCCTGAGGCCAGGGGCCTGTGTGGGTCACAGCAGTGAGATGAGGAGGTGGTGGAGGAGCCTGGCTGGGGAAGGTTTCCCTGAGGGTCTGTTGGGGCTGAGCCCCAGGAGGGTGTTTATGGGTCAAAGAGGGTCAAGGGCTCAGCAGGGCCCAAGATCCAAGCAGAGAACCTGCCCAACTCACCTGTTGGAAAGGTTTCCTGATCATTATCTTCGCAGTAGCAAATGCCTGGGTGAGAAGAAGCCAGGTCAACAGAGTCAAGGGCATCTCTGCTGGAGTCTCTCACATCCCTGCACCTGCAGCCCCCACACTTCCTCCTCTGGGCCAGATGTTCCCAGTTTTCTCAGGGTCCCCTGGGGACCCTTTGCATCAGAATCACCTGGAATGCTTGTGGTAACTCAGAGTCCTGACCTCACTCCATACCCTCTGCATCAGGCTCTCTAAAAAGGAAGCTAGAACCTGCCTTTTCAATGGGCACCTGGGTGATGGTTATCCACTCCAGTCTCACATTGAAGATTGGCCTTTCCCATGGAAAGGAAATCTCCTCCTTCCTGCCCTTTGTCTTCCTCTCCCAGAGGCTCCTATGGCA